GTCATAAGAAGTACTCGGATCCACGAGGAACCGCTTGATTATGGGCACTACATAGTATGCCATCATTGCGACTGCTTGCGTATTCATGCATTGTTAGTCGATATGGGAAGGCCCTGCGTCCGCGCGGTTTTATACTAAATCTCGCACGTGTCGCCTATCCGATTTCCGCGTCGGAAGGTTATGGGAGGACTACAAAAGGGATTAAGAGTGTTTGTTGTGTGTTGTTTCGTGTGTGTGTGTGTGTGTGTGTGTGTTTTATTTTTATGTTATTTAAGTGGTGTACGCGTGGTGAGCGGGATGCGTCCTAGTCGACCGACGACGAATCTCACTTGGGACTTCAGCCCCCCCCAAAGCGTCGGTTCGCGTGCGGGTTCGATAGAGGCGTAAAACCACACGTACCCCCTATGCTACAACGAACGAGAAACGCCCTCGGCTGGTCCACCTCTGCGATTGCAACTAATTAACTTTCGTACTGTTGACTGATAGCTCGACGGGGATACGCCCACTGAAGGGAGGTGACAACTCCCGTAAGGTGGAGGTAAGTTGTGCCTCGCGTTGGCGCTATTCTGTCGTAGGGGCTCGTGAGAGGTATGGTTGGCGCACTCGGCCTGAGCGGCTTGCGGAAAGCTCCATGTGTATCGTGACGAGGATCAGACCAACTCCTGCGTGACGCGGCCGGGAGAGCTGGAGTGAGTCGCGTCACTCTGTAACCTAGCAGAAAGGGGGCGTGAGGCCTAGATGAGTTTGTCAGAGAATAAGTCGGTTTCAATGAGTATTGTTATGATCTGTTATAAATCCCTTAGAAGCTCGAGTGTTTGAAAAAATTGCGGTGGATTTCAGGAGGTGTTCAGTGATCTTAAAAGGAGGCCAAGATTGCCGATATAGCATAGTCTTCTATATGTTTTCTTACTAATCATCATCATCATCATCATCATCATCATCATCATCATCATCATCGTCACTATCATCATCATCATCATCATCATCATCATCATCATCATCATCATCATAATCATCATACGAGGGACGCTGAGCCCCGTTCTCAGCATGATCGGTTCGGTCACTCTGGGTAGATTGTGAGGACTCCGGCCTCAAGCTGCTTGTTGATAATATCTGCCTTGGGCACTGGGCCCGTTTTTAAAAAAAAAAAAAAAAAAAAAAGGTCTCTCCCTTGCGCGGTGCGACACCGATATGCTCGACAACGGTCTCGACCAAGCGTGAAACCCACAAAATAATCCTCGTCTGTTTACAATTATCTCTAAATAAAAAATCAATACACCTTATATCCAACTGTACAAGACCAGCTCAGGGCGCATCGGGGAGAACGCCAGACTGACGCTGAAGTTGACCTTGATCGTTTTTTGACTTGATGAGACGATCTGCCAAAGTTATTCCTCCTAGCCTATATGGCAGGGAAGGCTCTCGCCTTTGTGAAAAGGCGGGAGCCGATGCGCTCAACAACGTGTTTATGACTTTTGCGATCCACTACAGGTCTGAGGATTCTGCAACGAGCCTCTAGCTACCCCGACCTATAGCCATGGTTATTTGCATATTTGGCACGTTGGACCATATCATTGGCCTGATCTCACAGGGCATATGGATATTCAGTCCAGTTCAGTCTTGCCCGCTATCACTGTTGATACTAGGACAATCCAGTTCAATCAGTCTAATGGGGGTATACCCTAGCTGCAATTTGTATTTCCATTCATTGTTCATTTGCACGGTTTGGAGTACGTGTGTTGTTGGGTCTGCGTTGTCCCTTCCAACTCCATCTCCATCATCCTCACCTGTTTGTTTTGATCCTGAAGGACTGCCATCTTGGCGGGTCCGTGTTAGGACCTTCCCGCGACCATTTTTATAAGAGTGTACGAGGCTACATGAGGTGTGTCTGTACTCCAGTTTGGGATGTCCGTGCAAGAGGCATGTTGGTCCACTGGTGAAGGCGTGAATACGTGGGGGGGCGGAAAAAAAAAAAAAAAAGGCAGGAATGTGCGTGTTTTAAAATTTGAAATCCAAATTCCTTCTACGGGTGACGACGGTTAGGCGGCGCACAAGCTATCCTAGCGCGGCGGTGGGGTAGTGGATGATAGCTCATTTTCCTCGCCTTCCAATCTACGTGGGGGCATGGTCACCCCTTCTAGTGACGACGCCGACGCGCAATGTGTATGAGCGGGGTCCTTCACAAATGGCGCGTGGCAGCTTGGAGCGCAAGCTTCAATGTGCGAAGACCTTTATTGTGTCATCGTCCATCGTGGTCGCCCGAAGGACTGTTGCCCGAAGAGCGGTTGCCACCATGCCTAAGAAATTCAAATCCCCGACCGTTGGAGACTCCCCCGGAACACCACAGACCCCCAAAGCAGCCGACTGAAAATGACGATGTGCCTCGCTGCCATCCACTGCCAACGGTAACCGTTGAAGGTCATTAGAGGACGTCCACGACGTTGAAGGGCGACGATGTCTTTCGTCTGGCCCTTTGACCACTACTGGACCACCTTCAGGTTTCAAATTTCCTTCTACACTCCACATTGACACCCCAAGAATTGCGGATCCTCGGGCTCCAGGTGACCTCGCCAGGTCCCTTGGAGCCAAGGACAATTTGGCTGGGAAATCCTCGGAGCCCAAGGATTTGTCCTCGGAGTGTTTTCACATTTTCATTTCAATTTTGATCTCCGAGGACAGGTGTAACGACTCCTTCAGGACGGTGAGCTCCTTTTTATGGTGTCCATTCAATTTCTATAGATCCCACGGTCTCTGTTAGGGCCTCACCACACTACTCCCGACTTGGCCATTTTGGAGAGTGCAGCGTCGCCACACCAGCTCCCGAGTTCAACCTATCAGATTGAATCCGGGAGCTGTCAGAATGTGGC